CAAAAGTAACTTTGTTACAAATACATTTTTAGATACAGTTCAATCGGAAAGTATTCAGACCCCTTCCCTTTTTCCAAATGTTGTTACGTTACAGCCTTATTCTAAAATGGATTACATATTCATTTTTACTCATCAATCTGCACACAAAAGCCCATAATGACGAAGCGAAAATAGTTATTTCGAAACTTTTGCAAATTTATTAAAAATGAAAAACAGAAAACGTATTTACAAAAGTATTCAGACCCTTTGCTATGAGACTGGAAATTCAGCTCAGGTGCGTCCTGTTTCCATTGATCATCCTTGAGATGTTTCTACAACTTGATTGGAGTCCACCTGTGGTAAATGTAATTGATTGGACATGATTTGGTAAGGCACAGACCTGTCTATATAAGGTCCCACAGTTGACAGTGCATGTCAGAGCAAAAACCAAGCCATGAGGTCGAAGGAATTGTCCGGTGAGCTCCGAGACAGGATTGTGTCGAGGCACAGATCTGGGGAAGGGTACCAAAAAATTTCTGCAGCATTGAAGGTCCCCAAGAACACAGTGGCCTCCATCATTCTTAAATGGAGAAGTTTCGACCCCAAACGTGTTGCTTTGGGCAATAGGGTTTCCGACTGGCCCCACCCTTTTTTTCGTGCTTGTGGCGCCGGAACTGACACAACCACTCATTTTTAACATACACATTTCAACAACATGCTGGTTATCGTTGTTCTAAACGTTGAATAGGTACACAAATCTCTGGGGTTAAACATTAATTCAAAAGATTAGAAATCGCCTTTTAAAAAATGGATGTACAGTACCAGTCAAAGGTTTGGACACACCTAGTCATTCCAGGGTTTTTCTTTATTTTTACTATTTTCTACATTGTAGAATAATAGTGAAGACATCAAAACTATGAAATAACACATATGGAATCATGTAGTAACCAAGAAAATGTTAAACAAATCAAAATATATTTCAGATTCTTCAAAGTAGCCACCCTTTGCCTTGATGACAGCTTTGCACACTCTTGGCATTCTCTCAACCAGTTTCATGAAGTAGTCACCTGGAATGCATTTCAATTAACAGGTGTGCCTTGTTAAAAGTTAATTTGTGGAATTTCTTACCTTTTTAATGCATTTGAGCCAATTACTTTTGTTGTGACAAGGTAGGGGTGGTGTACAGAAGATAGCCCTATTTGGTAAAAGACCAAGTCCATATTATGGCAAGAACAGTTCAAAGAGAAACGACAGTCAATCATTACTTTAAGACATGAAGGTCAGTCAATCCAGATCATTTCAAGAACTTTTAAAGTTTCTTCAAGTGCAGTCGCAAAAACCATCAAGCGCTATGATGAAACTGGCTCTCATGAGGACGCCACAGGAAAGGAAGACCCAGAGTTACCTCTGCTGCAGAGGATAAGTTCATTTAGAGTTACCAGCCTCAGAAACTGCAGCCCAAATAAATGTTTCATGGAGTTCAAATAACAGACACATCTCAACATCAACTGTTCAGAGGAGACTGTGTGAATCAGGCATTCATGGTCGAATTGCTGCAAAGAAACCACTACTAAAGGACACCAATAATAAGAAGAGAACTGCTTGGGCCAAGAAACACGAGCAATGGACATTAGATCGGTGGAAATCTGTCCTTTGGTCTGATGAGTCCACATTTGAGATTTTTGATTCCAACCGCCGTGTCTTTGTGAGATGCAGAGTACATTTACATTTACGTCATTTAGCAGACGCTCTTATCCAGAGCGACTTACAAATTGAGTAGGTGAACGGATGATCTCCGCATGTGTGGTTCCCACCGTGAAGCATGGAGGAGGAGGTGTGATGGTGTGGGGGTGCTTTGTGGGGGTGCTTTGCGACTGGACAACCTCAATGCTGTATGGGATGAGTAGTTTGTTTGCCTCCTAACTCCGGAATGTACACGGTCTTGTACCCTTGCCTTTTTCCCCCCATATACAGTACCAGTCAAAAGTTTGGACACACCTAATCATTCAACGGTGATGTCAGGGGAAGTTGTATGCGCAAGCTAACGTTTCCAAAAGAAAAGCAAACACAAAATTCATTACTTTTATGATATGTGTTTGAGCCGTCATGTGCATTAGTAGCACAATTTCTAATTTATTTACATTCATTTTTACTTAAACTTGTATGTTGACTTCTCCATATTAATGTTGGTTTTATGTTTTGGCTGACTTTTCTTAGCGGATGTACATTCATCGCAAATTGAATTATGGGGCGTTTCAGGCCCCGGAGTGAACATAATTGTACACTCGCAAACTCGATCAAAAATTAGGGCTGAGGGGCTTACGTTGCCGACTTCCCTTGCTTGGCTAATCATTTGGACCGATGACAAAGATGGCCACGGAGATTCCCCCAAGGGCAAAAGGCGAGGGTAAATGGAAGAGAGTGTGACTTTTATGTGTTTGAAACACAGCCTCTGACTTGTATCTGCTCAGTGATTGGACGATACAAACCGCAAGGCTCATGGTTAGTCTAGTTTTTAGTGCTCTTTGCACCAGATACTGACGGTAAAAACACGACTTCTCAACACAGAGGTTGAAACATTCATAACCGATAGGCACAACATCAATATACTAATTGTCTTGCAATCTCGGGAGAAAATAGAACGTCTACGTTGCACAGTAATATCGCTATTGCTAATAATTATCACAATGGGTGATTGCATTGAGAATTCACTTCCTGGAACCTCTCGTCTGTGCCCTATTGGTCATCATTGTGAAAAGTGGGCATGTAAGTAATCCATACCCAACCCTCCAGTAAGTTGTGAAGAACTCACTTACAAAACTCAGTTTTGGACAAGACTGACTTTATGATCAAAAGTATCCTATTTACACTTTGTAGTCTATTTTGAGTCATCGATGCCACATAGGCCGCTTAAAACCAGATAAATTGGTTCTAACTTCTAAGGGGCAGTTGACCTTTAAAAAGAAATACAACAATAAAGAGTTTACTCTGGTTGCTAAGAGAAAGAGAGCTCATATTGAACAGGTTGCTTAAGGATATGATGAGACTACACATCTATTTGATTATTACAAGTTATTTTAATGATATTTAGCTAATGTTCTAGATTGGCGGAATTTCCAGGCTTGTTTTGCAATGAGCAAAGAATTGGCGGAATTCCCAAGCTTGTTGTTCACCAATAAAAAGATTCAGATTCCAAAAGGAGGGAAACAAAACATGATGGGGTGAAATACAGGGATAGAATAAAAGGAGCCACATCAACAAAAAACTAAAGAAAAGAGAAATGTGGCAGTTATTATTTATTGGTCTACTTAGGCTTTTAATTACCATTATAGGACCTGGCATCTAATTCTACTTTGTAGCCAACTGCTGTATTAAGAGCAACATGATGTGTAGTCCCACCCCTGGAGGACGAGGACTATAGCCCTAACTTGTGCTGCGTTAAACTCTCATTTAATCCAACTTGGACATTTTGTACAGTAGCTGTTTCAAACCTTTTTATCCAGGTTGATTCTGGCCTGAATGACAACTGCTCCAAAAATATATAAAAAGTTCATTAAATAAAGCTTTGCGTTGACTCGTGCGGCGGGCCCCCTCCTCGTGTTTTAGGTTCTGCATGTCCATAAAACACACCCTCCCTGTTTGTCTGTCTCCCCAGGCTAGTGCGGAGCGATTTAACCCAAATGTTTTAACAACTAATTGACTGACGTCGGTTCAATTACTTGAATTTCATTTTGTTCATTTTTTTTTGTGAGCCCAACGCGCCGTTTCTCAATAAAGAAATCAAAACAAGCGTCTCGTCAGCAACACTAAAAAAGTACTTCTGGGTCACGGAATTTCTGAAGTTTTAAAAGTAGAAGTCCCCCACGTTATAGTAGGACAGTGTCATTAACCGGTATTTTTTCATGATATATGAAAAATTACTGTCTAAACATTAACAATTATTCATATTTGTTCGTATTTAAGTGACATTTGCATAAAATGTGAATTTTAAAATATGTATGTACACTGTATATGAAATACATATTGGCTTATAGAGAGAACTATTCTAGGTGCGGAAGTAAAAGTGGGGTTGGGATTACTTTCCACCCACTCCATTCACTGCAGCTCAATACACTGTTGGCCTAAAGGTGATTAGTTACTTCAAAGACACAATGTAAACAATGATAGACACTGTTAACGATCTAAATTAACCTAATGATGATGAGCCAGTTGTGCCTTTTACACACTTAAATCAGCCCAAGGCCAGCCTTGACCTCAGCCAAAAAAATGCATTATGCCTGACAAATGACGTCAAACGACATAAAATGGAGCCATTATACACTATACGGTACAAATATTGCACTGTACTGGCAAAACGATTGATTGTGTGTCCATAAAACCAGGGTCCAGTCTACTCACTAGAGTCCCTAGAATAACAAAACTTTGTCAAGCCTTTTCCTTCAAGTTAAAGGCCAGAACAGCAAGGCTCGGTGACATTTACATTTACATTTTAGTCATTTAGCAGACGCTCTTATCCAGAGCGACTTACAGTTAGTGAGTACATACATTTTCATACTGGCCCCCCGTGGGAATCGAACCCACAACCCTGTCATTGCAAACGCCATGCTCTACCAACTGAGCTACACGGGACCAAATAATTAGTGCCTAGTTAACATTTCATTTACATTTTAGTCATTTAGCAGACGCTCTTATCCAGAGCGACTTAAAGTTAGTGAGTGCATACATTTTCATACTGGCCCCCCGTGGGAAACGAACCCACAACACTGGCGTTGCAAGCGCCATGCTCTACCAACTGAGATACAGGGGACGGTGACAACACCTACTCTGAGGCTATGATGTCTGTGAACTCATGTTAAGTCTAAATCAAACTACTTTTGTACTGTCACTTTAACTCTTTGCTGACTGGCTAATTCAGGACTATATCAAAATGACAAGTCAATAAATTAACTATTTTAGCTTTCTCTTTGTTTGCTTCAAGTGTGAAATAAAACGCCATTCCATACCAGACCCACTGGGCACAGATGTCTATTCCACATTGGTTCAATGTAATTTTATTGAAATGACGTGGAAACAACATTGATTAAAACAGTGTGCCCAGTTGGGACTTGCACTCTTGGCTTGCCCTATTATGTGGGTGCCAAATTGTGACTATTAGTAGGTGATTAGGTGAGAAGTTAACTGCACAGCCCAAGGCCAGCCTTATGTGCCAAACATGCATCAGGTCTAGCATTTTGGCTAGACAAATCGAATACACTGAGTTACAGTTCATATAAGGAAATCAGTCAATTGAAATAAATTCATTAGGCCCTAATCTATGGATTTCACATAATTGGGCAGGGGTGCAGCCATGGGTGGGCCTTGGAGGGCATAGAGCCACCCACTTGGCAGCGAGGCCCACCCACTGGGGAGCCAAGCCCAGCCAATCAGAATTAATTTTTCCCCACAAAAGGGCTTTATTACAGACAGAAATACTCCTCAGTTTCGTCAGCTGTCCGGGTGGCTGGTCTCAGACGATCCCGCAGGTGAAGAAGCCGAATGTGGCGGTCCTGGGCTGGCGTGGTTACACGTGGTCTGCAGTTCGGAGGCCGGTTGTATGTACTGCCAAATTCTCTAAAACGATGTTGAAGGCGGCTTATGGTAGAGAAATGAACATTCAATACTCTGGCAACAGCTCTGGTGGACATTCCTCCAGTCAGCATGCCAATTGCACGCTCCTTCAAAACATGAGACATCTGTCGCATTGTGTTGTGACACAATTGCACATTATAGTGTCATTTTATTGCCCCCAGCACAAGGTGCACCTGTGTAATGATAATGCTTTTTAATCAGCTTCTTGATATCGTCACACTGTCAGGTGGATGGATTATCTTGGCAAAGGAGAAATGCTCACTAACAGCGATAAACACATTTGTACACCACATTTGAGAGAAATTCGTTTTTTGTGTGTGTGAAAAATGTCTAGGATCTTTTATTTCAGATTCCAAACTCTCCACCATGGCCAAGACCAAAGAGCTCTCCAAGGATGTCAGGGACAAGATTGTAGACCTACACAAGGCTGGAATGGGCTACAAGACCATCGCCAAGCAGCTTGGTGAGAAGGTGACAACAGTTGGTGCGATTATTCGCAAATGGAAGAAACACAAAATAACTGTCAATCTCCCTCGTCCTCGTGGAGTTGCAATGATCATGAGAATGGTGAGGAATCAGCCCAGAACTTCACAGGAGTATCTTGTCAATGATCTCAAGGCAGCTGGGACCATAGTCACCAAGAAAACAATTGGTAACACACTACGCCGTGAAGGACTGAAATCCTCCAGCACCCACAAGGTCCCCCTGCTCAAGAAAGCACATATACAGGCCCGTCTGAAGTTTGCCGATGAACATCTGAATGATTCAGAGGTGAACTGGGTGAAAGTGTTGTGGTCAGATGAGACCAAAATCAAGCTTTTTGGCATCAACTCAACTCGCCTTGTTTGGAGGAGGAGGAATGCTGCCTATGACCCCAAGAACCCCATCCCCACCGTCAAACATGGAGGTGGAAACATTATGCTTTGGGGGTGTTTTTCTGCTAAGGGGACAGGACAACTTCACCACATCAAAGGGACGATGGACAGGGCCATGTACCGTCAAATCTTGGGTGAGAACCTCCTTCCCTCAGCCAGGGCATTGAAAATGGGTCGTGGATGGGTATTCCAGTATGACAATGACCCAAAACACACGGCCAAGGCAACAAAGGAGTGGCTCAAGAAGAAGCACGTTAAGGTCCTGGAGTGGCCTAGCCAGTCTCCAGACCTTAATCCCATAGAAAATCTGTGGAGGGAGCTGAAGGTTCGAGTTGCCAAACGTCAGCCTCGAAACCTTAATGACTTGGAGAAGACCTGCAAAGAGGAGTGGGACAAAATCCCTCCTGAGATGTGTGCAAACCTGGTGGCCAACTACAAGAAACGTCTGACCTCTGTGATTGCCAACAAGGGTTTTGCCACCAAGTACTAAGTCATGTTTTGCAGAGGGGTCCCTCATTAAAATGCAAATCAATTTATAACATTTTTTACATGCGTTTTGCTGGATTTTTTTGTTGTTATTCTGTCTCACTGTTCAAATAATCATACCATTAAAATTATACACTGATCATGTCTTTGTCAGTGGGCAAACGTACATAATCAGCAGGGGATCAAATACTTTTTTCCCCTCACTGTATGTGAACCCATGCCTCTATGCCAATGCACTCTCCCATTCAAAATTTGCACTTCAGTAATTAGCATGATAAGTTTATTCAAGGAGGCTTTTGTTCATCATGCCTTTCATTGTGTTCTTATTTTTATTTTGTTTCCCTACTCCTCCCCCCTCTTCCTTCTCCCTATTCTCCAGGCCCTCTCTTTGATCGTGTTTCCCTTCATCCCGGCCTCCAACCTCTTCTTCCCCGTGGGCTTTGTGGTGGCTGAGAGGGTGCTCTATGTTCCCAGTATGGGATTCTGTGTTCTCGTGGCTCACGGCTTCAGGATTGTCTCCCACAAGGGGTGAGTAGGACAGTAGTTAGCTTGGTCCCAGATCTGTTTGTGTTGTCTGTCTAACAATGACCAAAGGATTTGGCAAGACAGCACAAACAGATCTGGGACCATTTGGAGTGAGTAGTACCCTTCCAACACAAACTCCCATGGGGTGTAATGGGGTATTAAACATCTCCCAAGCATAAAATAATCACTTTAACAATGGACCACTCTCAGGGACGGTCGCTGACAATAAACCTAGTCTTGGACTAAGAAGCACTTTAAATTATCCAAGACTATGCTTAAAGGCCCAATGGTGCCGTTTTTATATCAATATCAAATCATTTCTGGGTAACAATTAAGTACCTTACTGTAATAGTTGTCCATTAAAATGGACAAAAATGGCTTTTTAGCAAAAAAACTATTTCTCAAACAAGAATTTAGCTGGGACTGTCTGGGAGTGGAAAACTTAAAACTAGATGTTATTGGCAGAGAGGTTTGGAACTCTCTTTGTTATTAGTCTACACTGAGTATACAAAACGTGAAGAACACCTGCTCTTTCCATGACATAGACTGACCATGTGAATCCAGGTGAAAGCTATGATACCTAATTGATGTCACTTGTTAAATCCACTTTAATCAGGGTAGATGAAGGGGAGGAGACAAGTTAAAGAAGGATTTATGAATGTTTGGTATACTCAGTGTATTAACCAATTTATCGCCTGTTGATGTCACCAGGCAAGCTGAAACTCCCGCCCATGCAAACAGGCTGATTAGAAGGTCCTTTGTAGATTCCAGCAACTATCAGGAAATAACACTGATCAAACGGGGGCTGCGTTTTTCACACAGAAAAAATCAAATGCATATGAAATATCTTGCTGCGTTTTGTAAACACAGATCTAAAATGCTCCTTATTGTAATTTCTGCTCGGCATCAGACTAATGTTGTGCTTCAGTTGCACTTCTCCACTGGATGAGAATTCACCAACAGGCATTCTACCAGCAGACATCGCTCTGACTGATGTGTAGTTACTTTTCTCCGCTACTTTTCTCGGTGTAGCCTACTTTTCTCAGGTAAAATGTAAGACGTAACTTCATACAAAACATTAGGAAATGTAGCTGGCTGCGTTCTTTCTATGATAAACATTCGAAATATGATGGCCATGCGTCGTCTTCGCAAAAAATACCTTGCTTTATCGTTGTAAGCTCATTTACTTGTGTGGCTGCTAGCCAAATAGTGTTGTACTTCTGTTGTCATCTGATGAAAGTGAAGCTATTTTCTGTGAAGGAAAACTATATTTGCACGCCCCTGATCACTCTATTGAAGTAAAAAAAACACTGACTTTCAATATAAAATGCAGGTGAAATGGTTTAAAATAGAGATTTTTTGTTTGTCTGCGTTTTGAAAATGCAGATTTCAAAACTCTAAAGGGACCCTTGTCAAATGTTGTAACACTTTTACAGTGTTAGTTTCATCAGCTGTTGTACAATATGATACAAAACACAAGACTGCCCTGGACCTTTAATCTGTGTCCAGGAAACCAGCCCTCAGTGTCTCTCTAGCCACAATTTCAAACCAAATTGTACCAACTAGACAGCGTTATCAATTTGGAGGGGATTATTTGGGTTTTCTATTCAGTCTTTTACAGTCTTTTAACAGAATCAACATTTTTCTATTTGCTTTTTCCCTTTATTGACCAGACACATGAAGAAAATCTCCTGGCTGATGATCGGAGTGCTCCTCACCACACATACAGTCAAGACCTTCAACAGAAACTGGGACTGGGAATCTGAATACACACTGTTCACCTCTGCTCTGAAAGTATGCCGTCCAGATCTCCTCATTCTTGGCCTAACTTACAATAAACTCGCCACGATTGTTATTTTCTTCCGTTGTTCCTCCCAAATAAACTTTTTAATTAGACCTAGTACATATTTTTTGAAGCTGAACACACATTCAGTTGTATTTCTGCTTAGTGCTGGTGAAACATTTCAACATGAGACTGGAGTAGGGCTGTTGCGGTGACCGTATTACCGCCACACCGGCAGTCGTGAGTCATGACCGCAGTAAAATTCCACCGTGACAGTTGAGTCACATTAATCTCCTCTTATGCACTGAGGACATGCGTTGACAGTATCCAACTCGTTAATGGCCTGGTACTCTATTGTCCTTCTAACTACTCTGACATCAAAGTATTGTGCTTTTAAAACTCACCTCACTGTGATTGATCAATTTGAAGAAAGAAGTTCAACAACAGGTTAACTCAGTGGAAAAAAATGGTCATTGTGGATGTTGTTTCAAAGCTTAACAACTAAATGGGCAGGCTTTCTAGGGTGATGATTAATTCAAAACACCCATACACATATTAGAACTTACACATACAGTGGGGAAAAAAAGTATTTAGTCAGCCACCAATTGTGCAAGTTCTCCCACTTAAAAAGATGAGAGAGGCCTGTAATTTTCATCATAGGTACACGTCAACTATGACAGACAAAATGAGAAAAAAAAATCCAGAAAATCACATTGTAGGATTTTTTATGAATTTATTTGCAAATTATGGTGGAAAATAAGTATTTGGTCACCTACAAACAAGCAAGATTTCTGGCTCTCACAGACCTGTAACTTCTTCTTTAAGAGGCTCCTCTGTCCTCCACTCGTTACCTGTATTAATGGCACCTGTTTGAACTTGTTATCAGTATAAAAGACACCTGTCCACAACCTCAAACAGTCACACTCCAAACTCCACTATGGCCAAGACCAAAGAGCTGTCAAAGGACACCAGAAACAAAATTGTAGACCTGCACCAGGCTGGGAAGACTGAATCTGCAATAGGTAAGCAGCTTGGTTTGAAGAAATCAACTGAGGGAGCAATTATTAGGAAATGGAAGACATACAAGACCACTGATAATCTCCCTCGATCTGGGGCTCCATGCAAGATCTCACCCTGTGGGGTCAAAATGATCACAAGAACGGTGAGCAAAAATCCCAGAACCACACGGGGGGACCTAGTGAATGACCTGCAGAGAGCTGGGACCAAAGTAACAAAGCCTACCATCAGTAACACACTACGCTGCCAGGGACTCAAATCCTGCAGTGCCAGACGTGTCCCCCTGCTTAAGCCAGTACATGTCCAGGCCCGTCTGAAGTTTGCTAGAGTGCATTTGGATGATCCAGAAGAGGATTGGGAGAATGTCAGATGAAACCAAAATATAACTTTTTGGTAAAAACTCAACTCGTCATGTTTGGAGGACAAAGAATGCTGAGTTGCATCCAAAGAACACCATACCTACTATGAAGCATGGGGGTGGAAACTCCATGCTTTGGGGCTGTTTTTCTGCAAAGGGACCAGGACGACTGATCCGTGTAAAGGAAAGAATGAATGGGGCCATGTATAGTGAGATTTTGAGTGAAAACCTCCTTCCATCATCAAGGGCATTGAAGATGAAACGTGGCTGGGTCTTTCAGCATGACAATGATCCCAAACACACCGCCCGGGCAACGAAGGAGTGGCTTCGTAAGAAGCATTTCAAGGTCCTGGAGTGGCCTAGCCAGTCTCCAGATCTCAACCCCATAGAAAATCTTTGGCGGGAGTTGAAAGTCCGCATTGCCAAGCGACAGCCCCAAAACATCACTGCTCTAGAGGAGATCTGCATGGAGGAATGGGCCAAATACCAGCAACAGTGTGTGTGAAAACCTTGTGAAGACTTACAGAAAACATTTGACCTGTGTCATTGCCAACAAAGGGTATATAACAAATAATTGAGAAACTTTTGTTATTGACCAAATACTTATTTTCCACCATAATTTGCAAATAAATTCATTAAAATCCTACAATGTGATTTTCTTGATTATTTTCCTCATTTTCTCTGTCATAGTTGACGTGTACCTATGATGAAAATTACAGGCCTCTCTCATATTTTTAAGTGGGAGAACTTGCACAATTGGTGGCTGACTAAATACTTTTTTTCCCCACTGTATGCATAGGTCTATATATGAGCACAAGCCTGAAAAAAAACGGAATTAAAATAATAATTGTGCTGTTCGTTATACAATAGGGCATATTAGGGCATATTAGGGCGTTATACAATAGGGCACCACAGAACAACATAAACAAAACTGATTTAAGATGTCTTTAATTGGTCTAGCCTATATTCCAAAATTAAACACATTCTAGTAATTGTCTTTAGTGTGGACTGTATTATTTTGCATACTGGATGGACTGATTACCTTAAGCTACACTCCAAAGTTTCTATTCATGAGTCTGGGAGAGAATGTATAGGCCTAGGCGATGCTGTTGGTTCATTGATTGTGCAGGGCAGCTTACAGAGTTAGACTACAATAGTGAATTTGTATTGGATTTTGAATAGCCTAGTAATAGGGCATTTTTTTATAATTGCATACTTAATAAGGTTACCTTTAGCTACATAATATCTCACCATCTTGCGTTTCCATCTCTTCCCCTTTCTCCTTCATTACATTCTCAAGCATGCAGAGAGAGGAGCTGTCAACAGTTTAATTATTTTATTTATTTTTATTTTAGTCATTTAGCAGACGCTCTTATCCAGAGCGACTTACAGTTAGTGAATACATATTATTTTTTTATACTGGCCCCCCGTGGGAATCGAACCCACAACCCTGGCGTTGCAAACGCCATGCTCTATCAACTGAGCTACATCCCTGCCGGCCATTCCCTCCCCTACCCTGGACGACGCTGGGCCAATTGTGCGCCGCCCATGAGTCTCCCGGTCACGGCCGGCGGCGACAGAGCCTGGATTCGAACCAGGATCTCTAGTGGCACAGTTAGCACTGCGATGCAGTGCCTTAGACCACTGCGCCACTCAGGAGAACATTAATGAAATGTTTCGTTGTGAAAACATGTTCCTTTCGATGTTCACGAACAGATTTCACTTGGTTTCCCAAAGTAAGCACTGGGTAGCTGCAGGAACAGGGTTGGGAAGCCCATAGCATACAGAGTTTGGGCGGAATATCACCTGTCGCGCAGGGAGAGGCTACATGCTCCTCAAACAGTGGTTGATGCATAGAGTGAAATAACTGGAGTAGCCTACCTGAACGAACCAAACGCTGGAAAGCGGCTTCCATTCGCTATTTGAGTGCACAGGCAGATTATGTATTCTTCCCCCCTGCCCCTGTTCCTGCCAATTTGATAACGGGCCGTAAATCGAAACTAATTTAACATATTAGTAAAGACAATATTACATTGAGAATAGTCTGATGGGTGATCATATGATCACTTGATGAGAGAACAGCGTGTGCCGCCTGAAGCAAGGAACAGAGCGTAAGCTTTTTTTGCGACTTTTTCAAATCATCAAAAGGCTAGAGTCTCATCATGCAGCCCATATGTTTTAATTTCTAAGACATTCTAAGGTTTGTATCATTAACAACTAAAGTTGCCAAATAACTATAAATCTAACGTAGCCTATAGGACCTGTTTCAAATGATCACTTTTATGCTCAACATAGACTTCAAATGCGCACTCGCTCCGGAATGGGACAAATATACTTTCTATTATATTCAGCTAAATTCAATTATATTCTTCTTAATATAAAATCATATAATATAAAATAATGACACAGGACTTAAAAGCATATCGTGTCTGCTAAATGAACAAGCCTACAACTAGAGAACATCATCAGGCCAACTCATTCTGTTAATCTGAAATACATTTTCTTCATATCATGTTTCTTTAGACCTACCTAAAATAAGTAATGGATTTATTGTCATGGTGTATATAAAAAATACTTTTTTAAATGTAGATGTTCAGCAGCTTGTATGTGTGGAGGCCTGGAGATGCTAAATGTGTTTATGTAACTTAACGGCCATTTACCATGAGACCTGCAGTGTTTTTGCAGGACCGTAACTGGCTGACAAAATGTCGTTAAATTTTAGCCATTTAGCAGAGGCTCTTATCCAGAGCGACTTCCAATTAGTGAGTGCATACATTTTTCATACTGGGCCCCGTGGGGACGTCACATCCCTAGACTAGAGCTCATCAATCTTCTTTGTAATACAATATAATTACAACATAAATACACAGTATATTATAATATAATATGCCATTTAGCAGACGCTTTTATCCAAAGCGACTTACAGTCATGTGCGCATACATTTTTACGTATGGGTGGTCCCGGGGATCGAACCCACTACCCTGGCGTTACAAGCGCCATGCTCTACCAATTGAGCTACAGAGGACCACCCATACATATTGTAACAATATTGAGAAAGACAAAGACATGGAGCTTGTACTTATTTTTATTTTCTATTGATTGCCTTGTCTCCCCTCAGGTCAACAAGAACAATGCCAAGCTATGGAACAATGTTGGCCATGCTCTGGAAAATCAAAACAATTACGAAAAAGCTCTGAGATATTTCCTTCAGGCCACCCGGGTCCAAGCAGGTAAGACTTATCATCCTCCCATTATATTGTTGTCTGGTGGGCTTCAAAGTTATGGTAGAAGATGAAACGATGACGAGATACCATTGATTTTGATCCGTATAATATAATTCAGTCTGCTCAACGGTGTTATTGTGGCAAACATTGATGTATTGTGTGAAACTGCACTTATTGCCTGAGCTCCTTCACAAACGGTCTGTTTTCAACTGAATCACGCAAAGCTTTACTAATCGCTTATACTGCTACAGACAGTAATTCTGTTAGAGAACAAAAAGGAGTTGTATTGACCTGGAAATTAGGGCTTCGTCCAAAATGGCACCCTATTCCCTATATAGTGCACTACTTTTGATATAGCCCAGGGCTCTTCGGACGGACCCAAAAATTATTGTTGAGTAAAGCCATTCAAATAAATCCATGTCTCCCAGATGTTATTGCTGGCTGAGGAGAGATGTTCCAGACACCTCCAGTCAGTTGGTGTGGAGAGAGCTGTTGGTGTATCTACACAACAAAAACACACTACTTGAATGTTCACAGGGAAATGTTCACACTTAACATGTGTGATTGACCTTATCTCAACCAACTTATAGAACTCAAAATAGACCTCAATGTCATACAGCCTAATTTAAAGTGGGGATTAACTGTCATGCAAGTTAACACGTGTGACTGGGCTGACTCTCATAGAACTCAGCATTTAGTGACAACGCCTTTCATGGAACTCAACACGTGTGACTATGTATAGGACATACAGGGTAACGGAGCTGACTGTCATACAAGTTAGCGTGTGACATGGTTGACTTGTAGAACTTAACCTTTCTGTCTGTCCTCATATAACTTTTGTGACTGCAGGCAGGGGAAGCAAATTCATATACTGGTTGGCTAATCTAAAGTATAGTACTATGTAACCCTCCAGGTATGCCTGCCCTCTACCAACATGGCTTGTGCATACAGGTCATGTCATGGAGCAGGAAACATGTGCAGTCGCTAGTGAAGGTCTACATTTACATTTACGTCATTTAGCAGACGCTCTTATCCAGAGCGACTTACAAATTGGTGCATTCAACTTATGATAGCCAGTGGGACAACCACTTTTTTCCCCACTTTTTTTTATGAGGGGGGGGGGTAGAAGGATAACTTTTATACTATTACAGGTATTCCTTAAAGAGGTAGGGTATCAAGTGTCTCCGGAAGGTGGTCAGTGACTCCGCTGTCCTTGCATCGTGGGGGAGCTTGTTCCACCATTGGGGTGCCAGAGCAGCGAATAGCTTTGACTGGGCTGAGCGGGAACTGTGCTTCCGTAGAGGTAGGGGGGCTAGCAGGCCAGAGGTGGATGAACGTAGTGCCCTCGTTTGGGTGTAGGATCAGAGCCTGGAGGTAAGGAGGTGCCGTTCCCCTCACAGCTCCATAGGCAAGCACCATGGTCTTGTAGTAGATGCGAGCCTCAACTGGAAGCCAGTGGAGTGTGCGGAGGAGCGGGTGACATGAGAGAACTTGGGAAGGTTGAACACCAGACGGGCTGCAGCGTTCTGGATAAGTTGTAGTGGTTTAATGGCACAGGCAGGGAGCCCAGCCAACAGCGAGTTGCAATAATTCAGACAGGAGATGACAAGTGCCTAGATTAGGACCTGTGCCACTTTCTGTGTAAGGTAGGGTCGTACTCTGCAAATGTTGTAGAGCATGAACCTGCAGGATCGGGTCTACGCTTTGATGTTAGCGGAGAACGACAGTGTGTTGTCCAGGGTCACGCCAAGGTTCTTTGCACTCTGGGAGGAGGACACAATGGAGTTGTCAACCTTGATGGCGAGATCATGGAGCGGGCAGTCCTTCCCCGGAAGGAAGAGCAGCTCCGTCTTGCCGAGGTTCAGCTTGAGGTGGTGATCCGACATCCACACTGATATGTCTGCCAGACATGCAGAGATGCGATTCACCACCTGGTTATCAGAAGGGGTGAAAGGAGAAAATTAATTGTGTGTCGTCTGCGTAGCAATGATAGGAGAGACCATGTGAGGATATGACAGAGCCAAGTGACTTGGTGTATAGAGAGAATAGGAGAGGGCCTAGAACTGAGCCCTGGGGGACACCAGTGGTGAGAGCACGTGGTGCGGAGACAGATTCTCGCCACACCACCTGGTAGGAGCGACCTGTCAGGTAGGACGCAATCCAAGAATGAGCAGTGCCGGAGATGCCCAACTCGGAGAGGGTGAAGAGGAGGATCTGATGGTTCACAGTATCAAAGGCAGCAGATAGGTCTAGAAGGATAATAGCAGAGGAGAGAGAGTTAGCTTTAGCAGTGCGGAGAGCCTCCGTGACACAGAGAAGAGCAGTCTCAGTTGAATGACCAGTCTTGAAACCTGACTGGTTTGGATCAAGAAGGTCATTCTGAGAGCGATAGCAGGAGAGTTGGCTAGAGACGGCACACTCAAGAGTTTTGGAGAGAAAAGAAAGAAGGGATACTGGTCTGTAGATGTTGACGTCGGAGGGATCAAGTGTAGGTTTTTTGAGGAGGGGTGCAACTCTCGCTCTCTTGAAGACGGAAGGGACATGGCCAGCGGTCAAGGATGAGTTGATGAGCGAGGTAAGGTAAGGGAGAAGGTCTCCGGAAATGGTCTGGAGAAGAGAGGAGGGGATAGGGTCAAGCGGGCAGGTTGTTGGGCGGCCGGCCGTCACAAGTCGCAAGATTTCATCTGGAGAGAGAGGGGAGAAAGAAGTCAAAGCATAGGGTAGGGCAGTGTGAGCAGGACCAGTGGTGTCATTTGACTTAATAAATGAGGATCGGATGTCGTCAACCTTCTCCCACAGAGAGGGAGGAGGGAGGGGGAGGAGGAGGATTCAGCAGGGAGGAGAAGGTGGCAAAGAGCTTCCTTGGGTTAGAGGCAGAGGCTTGAAATTTAGAATGATAGAAAGTGGCTTTAGCAGCAGAAACAGAGGAAGAGAATGTAGAGAGGAGGGAGTGAAAAGATGACAGGTCCGCAGGGAGTCTAGTTTTCCTCCATTTCCGCTCGGCTGCCCGGAGCCCTGTTCTGTGAGCTCGCAATGAGTCGTCAAGCCACGGAGCAGGAGGGGAGGACCGAGCCGGCCGGGAGGATAGGGGACATAGAGAGTCAAAAGATGCAGAAAGGGAGGAGAGGAGGGTTGAGGAGGCAGAATCAGGAGATCGGAGGGAGAAGGATTTAGCAGAGGGAAGAGATGATAGGATGGAAGAGGAGAGAGTAGCGGGAGAGAGAGAGAGCAAAGGTTGCGACGGCACATTACCATCTGAGTAGGGGCAGAGTGAGTAGTGTTGGAGGAGAGCGAGAGAGAAAAGGATACAAAGTAGTGGTCGGAGACTTGGAGGGGAGTTGCAGTGAGATTAGTAGAAGAACAGCATCTAGTAAAGATGAGGTCAAGCGTATTGCCTGCCTTGTGAGTAGGGGGGGGACTGTGAGAGGGTGAGGTCAAAAGAGGAAAGGAGTGGAAAGAAGGAGGCAGAGAGAAATGAGTCAAAGGCAGACATAGGGAGGTTAAAGTCACCCAGAAATGTGAGGGGTGAGCCATCCTCAGGAAAGGAACTTATCAAGGCGTCAAGCTCATTGATGAACTCTCCAAGGGAACCTGGAGGGCAATAAATGACAAGGATGTTAAGCTTGAATGGGCTAGTGACTGTGACAGCATGGAATTCAAATGAGGAGATAGACAGATGGGTAACGGGGAGAGATGAGGATTCCTGTGCCACCGCCGCGCTGACCAGATGCTCTCGGGGTATGCGAGAACACATGATCAGACGAGGAAAGAGCAGTAGGAGTAGCAGTGTTTTCTGTGGTGATCCATATTTCCGTCAACGCCAAGAAGTCGAGGGACTGGAGGGTAGCATAGGCTGAGATGAACTCTGCCTTGTTGGCCGCAGAACGGCAGTTCCAGAGGCTGCCGGAGACCTGGAACTCCACGTGGGTCGTGCGCGCAGGGACCACCAGATTAGAGTGGCAGCAGCCACGCAGTGTGAAGCGTTTGTATGACCTGTGCAGAGAGGAGAGAACAGGGATAGACAGACACATAGTTGACAGGCTATGGAAAAGGCTACAATAATGCAAAGATCAGAATGAAAATAACTAAACATCTGGGAAAGCGAGAGAGCGGGGCCTCCCTCACTTACGTTTCACTGAAACACTCAAATATAACTCTACACACACCTTACACAGTCTTCACATTTTCTTGCCTTAAAATGTAATCTAAAATGGGATTACATTTTTTCCCTACCGATCTACTCCACATTTTCAAAGTGAAAGAAAAATTATATACTTTATATATTTTCGACCAATAAAAACAAAGCAAAAAGATATTAGTATTTTTTTATACTTAATGTTATCAGATTATCAGATTTTCAACCAAAAACTAATATTAGATAAAGGGGACCTGAGTGAACAAATGACACAACAATTACATACTTATTTAATAAACAAAGTTATACAACACCCAATGCCCCTGTGTGAAAAAGGAATTGCCCCGTTACACTAACTGGTTGTGTCACCTTTAGCTGCAATGACTCCAACCAAACACTTCCTGTAGTTGTTGATCAGTCTCTCACGTCGCTGTGGAGGAATTTTGGCCCACTCTTCCATGCAGAACTGCTTTAACTCAGCGAAATATGTGGGTTTTTAAGCATGAACTGCTCGTTTCAAGTCCTCCCACAACATCGCAATTGGGATTAGGTCTTGACTTTGACTAGGCCATTCCAAAACTTCAAATGTGTTGCTTTTTAGCCATTTTCATGTAGACTTGATTGTGTGTTTTGGATCATTGTCTTGCTGCGTGACCCAGCTGCTCTTCAGCTTCAGCTCACAGACGGATGGCCTGACATTATCCTGTATAATTATCTTATACAGAGCAGAATTCATGGTTCCTTCTATTAAGGCAAATCGTCCAGGTCCTGAGGCAGCAGAGCATCCCAAACCATCACACTACCACCACCATGCTTGACCGTTGGTATGAGGTTCTTACTGTGGAATGCAGTGTTTGGTTTTCGCCAGACATAATGGGACCCATGTCGGCCAAAAAGTTATACTTTTGAATCATCTGTCCATAGAACATTCTTCCAAGAGTCTTGATGATCATCCAGGCGCTTCCAGGTGCTTTTTGGCAAACTTGACTGCATTTGTTTGCAGTCATGGCAGCTAAAGGTGGCACAACCAGTTATTGAGTGTAAGGGGGCAATTACTTTTTCACACAGGTGAATTGGGTGGTGCATAACTTAGTTAATTAAATCAATAAGTATCAATTTTTTTTGTTATTTGTAAACTCAGGTTCCCTTTATCTAATACTAGGTTTTGTTTGAAGATCTGATAACATTCAGTATCAAACATTTGCAAAAATAGAGAAAATCAGAAAGGGGGCAAATACTTTTTCACGGCACTGTATGTCTTCACACCCCAGAGTTAATACTTGACCTTAGGCAGCCATTACAGCTGTGAATCGTTTTAAATAAGATTCTACCAACTTTGCACAACTCTTAGGTCAACATACAGTGAATTCAGAAAGGATTCATTTGACCATACTTAAATACATATTAAATGTCTGATTTGTTATTGTTACCAATCTACCAATCACTGTTCTTCTTTATGAGGCTTTCGAAAAGCTCCCTAGTCTTTGTAGTTGAATCTGTGCTTGAAATTCAGTACTTCACTTAGGGACCTTACCAGATGTTGTATGTATGGGGGACAGAGGAAGGGTTAGTTATTTTAAAAAAATAATGTCAACCCCTATTAGTCCATGTAACTTATTATGTGATTTGTTAAGCCAAAATTTACTACTGAACTAATGTAGGCTTGCCTGAACAAAGGGGCTGAATACTTATGCAACGGCTATATTTTAGTTATCTAATTTCTATTCTTTTTTTTTTTTTTTTTTTCCTTCCACTTTGACATTACAGAGTATTTTAAGTAGATTGTTGACAAAAATGGACAAATGCATGCACGCACTTAGTAACACAATAAAATGTGAAGAAATCCAAGGGGTCTGAATACTTTTGCAACTCAGCAAAAAAAGAAACGTCCCTTTTTCAGGACCCTGTCTTTCAAAGATAATTCGTAAAAATCCTAATAACTTCACAGATCTTAATTGTAAAGGGTTTAAACACTGTTTCCCATGCTTGTTCAATTAACCATAAACAATTAATGAACATGCACCTGTGGAATGGTCGTTAAGACACTAACATCTTACAGATGGTAGGCAATTAAGGTCACAGTTATGAAGACTTAGGACACTAAAGAGGCCTTTCTACTGACTCTGAAAAACACCAAAAGAATGATGCCCAGGGTCCCTGCTCATCTGCGTGAATGTGCCTTAGGCATGCTCCAAGGAGGCATGAGGACTGCAGATGTGGCCAGGGCAATAAATTGCAATGTCCGTACTGTGAGACGCCTAAGACAGCGCTACAGGGAGACAGGACAGACAGCTGATCATCCTCGCAGTGGCAGACCACGTGTAACAACACCTGCACAGGATCGGTACATCCAAACATCACACCTGCAGGACAGGTACAGGATGGCAACAACAACTGCCCGAGTTACACCAGGAACGCACAATCCCTCCATCAGTGGTCAGACTGTCCGCAATAGGCTGAGAGAGGCTGGACTGAGGGCTTGTAGGCCTGTTGTAAGGCAGGTCCTCACCAGACATCACCGGCAACAACGTCGCCTATGGGCACAAACCCACCGTCGCCGGACTAGACAGGACTGGCAAAAAGTGCTCTTCACTGTCGAGTCGCGGTTTTGTCTCACCAGGGGTGATGGTCAGATTCGCGTTTATCGTCGAAGGAATGAGCGTTACACCGAGGCCTGTACTCTGGAGCGGGATCGATTTGGAGGTGGAGGGTCCGTCATGCTCTGGGGCGGTGTGTCACAGCATCATCGGACTGAGCTTGTTGTCATTGCAGGCAATCTCAACGCTGTGCGTTACAGGGAAGACATCCTCCTACCTCATGTGGTACCCTTCCTGCAGGCTCATCCTGACATGACCCTCCAGCATGACAATGCCACCAGCCATACTGCTCATTCTGTGCGTGATTTCCTGCAAGACAGGAATGTCAGTGTTCTGCCATGGCCAGCGAAGAGCCCGGATCTCAATCCCATTGAGCACGTCTGGGACCTGTTGGATCGGAGGGTGAGGGCTAGGGCCATTCCCCCCAGAAATGTCCGGGAACTTGCAGGTGCCTTGGTGGAAGAGTGGGGTAACATCTCACAGCAAGAACTGGCAAATCTGGTGCAGTCCATGAGGAGGAGATGCACTGCAGTACTTAATGCAGTGCTGATGGCCACACCTGATAATGACTGTTACTCGTTCAGGGACACATTATTCAATTTCTGTTAGTCACATGTCTGTGGAACTTGTTCAGTTTATGTCTCAGTTGTTAAATCTTAGGTTCATACAAATATTTACACATGTTAAGTTTGCTGAAAATAAACGCAGTTGACAGTGAGAGGACGTTTCTTTTTTTGCTGAGTTATTTATATATGTGTATTTATATAGATTATTATTATTTATTATTTTTATTTTTATTTTTTACAAATCTATACTTAGAGTCAAATATCGATATAATATTGTCTAAGAATAATATTGTGATACGTAACTGTATAGATTTGTTCCTCCATCACTATGCCAACGTTGTGCTGTGTATTGGGTGGTCCTATTGAATGGCTGCTTCCCAAAAGTAGTGCCCTATATTGGAAATAGGGTGGCAATTGGCACACATACAACGTTCCTCTAAACTCCCTCCGATCAGCCCAGATCGGATGTAATGTCCAGCCAAGCCACCACGTGACCTGACTGCATGGCCATGTACAGTACTACTAATCCCTAACCCCCATTCAGGCTTGATATCCCTGCCAAGTTGTTGTCATAGCTAAAGCCATGTGCTAACCCATGTGCATTCTCCTGTGGCATGTCCCTGCAGATGACATCGGAGCCCATATGAATGTGGGAAGGACCTACAAGAACCTGAACAAGTCCAAGGAGGCTGAGGAAGCCTACCTGGTTGCCAAATCCCTAATGCCACAGGTATGTCACAATGCCAACAAGGCCTCAGCACCCAGGTGTATTTAAGAGGGAAAACATCAGTTGTTTGTTATTCCCAATGTTTCACCTTAATCATCCTTTGAGGGACATGACAACAAGGGGAATCCATAGCTGGGAGGTAACAGCAGCAAGTGGGAAGAATAGTGTCTCATTGTTCATGGTGCCAGGCTTTTAGACAAAATTCCTCTGTGTTAAGTTGTGTTTTCTATGTGTTGTCAGCTGCATTCACAGTTTTTGTAAAAAAAAAAAAAAAAAGTGTATTTATCCAGGCAGTCAGTTATGAACAAGTTCTTTTTTACAATGATGTCCTGGCACCTGGTTTAATCTCTACGCTTGACAGATCATTGATCAACAGGACAATCTTAAAGGAGCACCTGAGGACTCCTGCCTTTGGAATCAAATCTAATCTAATTGTATTCATCACATGCTTCGTAAACAAAAGGTGTGGACTAACAGTGAAATGCTTACTTACAGGACCTTCCCAACAATGCAGAGAGAAAGTAAATAGAGAAATGATAGAAAAGTAAAACACATAATAATAGATACACAATGAGTAACGATAACTTGGCTATATACAAGGGGTACCAATACCGAGTCAATGTGCAGGGGTACAAGGTAATTGAGGTAGATATGTACATATAACTAGGAATAAAGTGACAGATGGTAAACAGTAGCAGCAGCGTATGTGATGAGTCAAAATAGTTTATGCAAAATGGTCAATGCAGATAGTCCGGGTAGCTATTTGGTTAACTACAGTATTTAACTATTTAGCAGTCTTATGGCTTGGGGATAGAAGCTGTTCAGGATCCTGTTGGTTCCAGACTTGGTCCATCATTACCGCTTGCCGTGTGGTAGCAGAGAGAACAGTCTATGACTTGGGGGGCTGAAGTCTTTGACAATTTTTAGGGCCTTCCTGGTATAGAGGTCCTGGTATAACTTTTTGAGGATCTGAGGGCCCATACCAAATCTTTTCAGCCTCCTGAGGGGGAAGAGGCATTGTTTTGGACCATGATAGATCCTTAGTGATGTGGACACCAAGGAACTTGAAGCTCTCGACCCTCTCCACTACAGCCCTGTCGATGTCAATGGGGGAGTGCTCGGCCCTGTAGTCCACAATCAGCTCCTTTGTCTTACTGACGTTGAGGGAGAAGTTGTTGTCCTGGCACCACACTGCCAGGTCTCTGAGCTCCTCCCTGTAGGCTGTCTCATTGTCGTTGGTGATCAGGCCTACCACCGTTGTGTCGTCGGCAAACTTATTGATGTTTGCTTGTGGCCTTATACAGCTCATTGAGTGCGGTCTTAGTGCCAGCATCGGTTTGTGGTTGTAAATATAGATACACTCTCTTGATAAATAGTGGGGTTTACAGCCCTCAAACTCAACTCTGGACCTCGAAGCCAGTTCCACTGCATTTTTTCATTGTTCCCCTCTAATCAAGGACTGATTTAGACCTGTGACACCAGGTGTGTGTGCAATTTATTATCAGGTAGAACAGAAAACATGCAGGCTCCGGACCTCATAGGGTAGGAGTTGAGTACCCCTGGTCTACAGCTTATCATCAGGCGAGCAGAACCTTGAGACTTCCTTAATATTAGAGATCTCGCACCAGTTGTTGTTAACAAAGACACTCACCACCCCCGTTGGGCATACCCAACGCTGCCGCTCTGTCCTGCCGATACATAGAAAAACCAGCTAGAATATTATACGTGTCCTTGTTCAGCCAAGTTTCCGAGAAACATAGGATATTACAGTTCTTCAGGTCCCGTTGATAGGATAGTCTCGAACGGAGCTCGTCCAGTTTGTTCTCCAGTAGTGCTGAGTGATTAGCGTTTTTTGGGGGTGTTTTGGTTCGATTATTTAAAGAATAATCATGGTTTTCGGTTTCAATATTTATTTTTTGGACATTAAATGCACTATGCATTATGTGGGTTGAATGGGTCAGGAGCTGTCTAATGCTAACCAGTGCAAATCATTCACCTCTAGTCTGTTATGATGGAGAGGTTATGATGATGGAGGTCAATAAAGGCCATGCCTCTTATCTGACTTCCTACCCAAACCTTTATAGTTGTCTCTCAGGAATTACGTCAACTAAAGGGGCACTTCTACATGCTTGACAGATCATTGATCATCATTTCGATGTTAAAGGTCTCCTGAAGACTTTGTAAAAGCCTACCTTTGGCATTAATTGATCATTTAATAGTCAGTTTAGTAGTCTTAGGTGATGCTCACCTGTCTAATGCTTAGAAATACAGCTCCGTCGCCTCTGTTCTGATGAGGTTATGTTGTTAGAGGTCAATGGGAGGCCGACCTGATTTCCTACCCCTATCTCTCAAAGTTGGTTTATCTCAGGAATCAAGGAAATGGCAGTGCCTCAGCCTGGCCTAGTGGTAGCGCTGCAGACTCCAGACTACATCTCGCTGGCATCTGGGATTCAAGCCCTGTCTCAGCCATTCTGTTTGTGCCTCTCTACTGTCGGTCTCTCTCTTTAACTGCCCAGTTCCCACTATTCTATTATTCATAAAAAACATAATGAAATAGCAGATATTTTAAATCACTACAAACATGACTGGTATGTGAAAGCCCTTTGGTCATTATTGGAGGTAAGCGTTGATGTGGTGCTTCTGTGTCATTTATGAGTGACAGTTCCCCCAATTCATCCACCTCAAACTTCCAATGAAAAACAACTTCTGAACTATGGCCTATTTGATTATGTTAATTTGAAGGGCCTGACTATACTTCCCATGCGAGGGGTCAGCATTGAAACAAATGATGATTTTGTGAATAAGCAGCAGGGCTGATTTCTTTAATTTTATCATCACGAAACGGAACAGGCAAGGCCTTGTCTGAGCTTTAAACAGATTTTTCAGCTGAAGCATGCAAGCGGCTGTGGCCATCATGTATCGATGACCCATACGGAACAGGATTTCCGCGTGGGGCCCAATGATAATCGCTTAGATACACTACACTTATTTTGATCATGCCTATTTTATTCATTGGTTTTCCAAACGAGTTAACTCTCTATATCCAGATTTCTGCTTATGTCCAGGAATCCAAAGACTGACAACCCCATGGCATAATACGGTTCTGTGAGCCTGTCGATGGAGGAAGTCCCTGCCTCAGTCTCTCATGTTCTCATGATTTATTTGAGAAACTGCGTAAACTCTGATTCGATAAATCAGTTTAGAAAACATAAAAGAAACAGAGCTTCTCTTCCTCTGGCTGTATGTGTGGCTAGTATAGGAATGTATGACTGTAGGATTATATAGAAAAATATGAGCATTTTCTTCCAAGAAAATCCCACTGTGATGTGAGATTCCATGTTGGCCAAGACAGAAGCACATTGCCCACATCGGGGCTGTCGGTGGCTTTGAAATTATATTGCTATGCTAGTTTCCTGCTCAGTCATTATTAGGCCTCTAAGAAAGTGACTTGTTGTCTCTTCTGTTGGTTGCTTTGTAATTTTTTCTCTCTGCCTAGCTTCCCTTGAGAAAATAAGGCCATGCCGAAACGTCGGTACAGATGTAGGATCTTAATTTGAGCCAGTTTGCTACAGCAGGAAAATAATTCTGCAACAACAGGAAATGTGAATTATTATGTGGATTATAATTAATGGATATTTTTCGTTAGGGCAAATCAAGTCTGACATTTTTAAAGTGGAAATTACAAACTTTAGAAACCTTTTTAAGCCTTGAATACACTACAAGTTTGCATTTCCTGCTGTGCAGGAACATTTTCAACAACAAAAGTGACCAAATTAAGATCCTAAATTATGAATGTACCGTAAGTTCACTCCACAGCTAGCTTGAAATGTCGCAGATGGAGCCATCCAATTGGTACCTTTTGGGTGGCTCAACAAGTTAGAACGTTGTCAAGGAGGAAGTTCATGTGTGTTGCGAAGCAGAGGATCACTGGTTCGAGCCCAGGATCAGGCAGTCGGACAGTGGAGGAAGCTAAGCTGTTAGCAGCACATTGACCACCGTAACAGTGGTGCCGTGACCCGGATGCGCAGTTGGGCTCAGCTTGACGTCTTGGGTCTCTGTGTAGCGAGTTTAAAGGGGGTGAGTGTAACAGAGTTAAGAACGTACCATAAGCTCACTACATTCTCTACGTCATGGGTTCTCAAACTTCTTGGGGCCGGGGACCCCTTTTGTGATAGCAAGTTCATCAGGGACCCACTCATAATCAGAACACAACTCGAGTGAGATAGAAATAGCATACAATGAGTTTTACTTTGGTAGTGCATGGCCGGACAAACCAAGTCTTGGGCCCTGGGAAGAAACATATTTTGTTGTCAAATTGACTGGGGCTGGGCGTCATTACACTATTACTGTAGATATATTAAGGACATTTTCTGAAATTACAATGCAAAAATATTACATATAGCTCCTTTAAAGGGATACTTCGGGATTTTGGCAATGAGGCCCTTTATCTATTTCCCCAGAGTCAGATGAACTCGTGGATACCATTTTTATGTCTCTGTGTCAAGTATGAAGGAAGATAAAGGGCCTCATTGCCAAAATTCCGAATTATCACTTTCATGTATTATTACATTAATTTATTCATTACATGTATTTATTAATGTATTACATTGTATTGTATTACACCCTCTAAATGTATTCCATGGATCCCTCAGCCGAAATGTGTTTAATCTGTTAGTAATATTCATTTAAAAAAATGTAATGTAAAAATAATTGTAATAATAATATTTTTAGATCTGGTCACGGACCCAGAGGTCTGCAGACCCCACTTTGAGAACCCCTGCTCTACGTTCTCTGGTGGTTATAGTTAACCTGGAATAGCAAACTAGTGTCCGGTACCCCTAACCTGTCAGAACTAAGTTAACAAACCAAAACAACTGCAAACATATAATATAGTGTGATCTAATATCTTTCATGTGGAATAAGTGTCATGGATCAGTTACTGATCAATCATCAACACATTAGATAAGGACAATTGTATTATGTTGCCCTTCCAGATCATTCCAGGGAAGAAGTACGCCACCCGTGTGGCGCCCAACCACCTGAACGTGTACATTAACCTGGCAAACCTGATCCGTACCAACGACTCACGCCTGGAAGAGGCTGACCAACTCTACAGACAAGCCATCAGCATGAGGCCTGACTTCAAGCAAGCCTACATCAGCAGGCAAGGCCCCTTTACTAACATCCTATATCAGTAGGCAAGGCGGTTAATTTACAGCCTATATCAGAATAATTATGTTGGACAAGGCTGTTGACTTTCTCTTAACATCCTTCATCAGAAATCTATTTAGTGTATTTACTACCTCCATCAGGGTGATGTACAATCTACATCATAACTGTTTACTAACAATTTTTAGCATACTGATATTTTAATGGATACCATATACGTCAGTAGGCACTCCATCAGAAGTTGAATTAATTTACAACATACGTAAGCAGTCCATTACATTTAATTCAGCTTAGGGAAGGGTCAATTGACTGCTTACGTAGGTTGTAAATTACTAATTAGACTTAAATGAATCAATTACATAAGCAGTCAATCTAGATTCTATGTTGGACTGTGGTGGTCATGAAATTTTGTCAGCCAGTTATTGTCATGCAATTGACTGCCGGTCTCATGGTAATTTACCGTTAATTAACAAACATGGTTAGCATCTCCAGGCCTCCACACATACAAGCCTTTGGAACATCTACATTTAAAAAAGTCTAATAAATCCATTTAATGTACACCATCACAATAAATCCATTATTTATTTTAGGCAAGTCCGAAGAAACATTATGATATGAAGAAAATGTATTTCAGAAGAACCGAATAGGAGTCAGCCTTCTGTATGTTATCTGGCTATATGCCATAGGCTGTAGGCTAGTTCATTTAGCATTATATTATTTTATTGTAAAAAATAATATTATTGAACTTACCTGAATAAAATGGAAAGGATATTTTTCCCATTCCGGAGCGATGCACATATGAAGTGGCTATGTTGAGCGTAAAAGTGATCATTTGAAACATGTCCTATACGCTAGATTTAGAGTTATTTGGCAAATTTTGTTGTCAATGATACAAACCTTGTATGAATGTCTTAGAAATCAAAACGTGTATGGGCTGCATGATGCGACTATAGGCTATTGACTATTTGAAAAGTAGCAAAAAAAAACTTGCAGACCTTGTTCTCTCATCAAGTGATCATATTTTCAACCATCAGACGATTCCCAATGTAATATTGTCTTTACTAATATGTAAAAAAAAAAAAAAAGAATAATGAAAAGGGGCAGGGGAAAAAATACATGTCATCCCTATGCACTCAAATAGCGAATGTAGACCGCTTTCTCACAGTTTAAATCATGCCGGGTAGGCTACTCCGGTTTTATAGCAGAGCAGCTGAGAAATAAATATAGTACAGCTGGGATCCTCCTCTTTTTAGTGGCAACCATCAAAACTCTACTTTCACACAGGATTGCATATAGAAATGTCTGGGCTTATAAAAATACTTTCACTTCACGCATCAACCACTGATTGAGGAGTTTGCAGCCTCTCGCTGCGCGACAGGTGATATTCCGCCCAAACTCTGTATGCTATGGGCTCTCCAACCATGTTTCTGCAGCTACCCAGTGCTTAATTTGGGAAACCAAGTGAAATCTCTTCGGGAACATCGATAGTAACATGTTTTCACAACGAAACAAATGTAAATAAAACTGTTGACAGCCCCTCTCTCTACGCGCTTGAGAAAATAATGGAGAGAGAGGAGGAGATGGAAACGCACAGTGGTGAGATATTCTGTAGCTAAATGTAATGTCAGCTTATTAATTATGAAAATATAAACAATTTCCAATACTAGGCTATTCAAAATCAAATACAAATTCACTATAAGTGTAGGCGAACTCTGTAAGCCGCCCTGCACAATCAATGAACCAACAGCATTGCCTACGCCTATATGTTCTCTCCCAGACTCATGGATAGAAAGTAATAATCCATACAGTGCCTTGCAAAAGTATTCATCCCTCTTGGCGTTTTTTCCTATTATGTTGCATTACAACCTGTAATTTAAATGGATTTTTTATTTGGATTTCATTTAATGGACATACACAAAATAGTCCAAATTGGTGAAGTGAAATGAAACAAAAAATAAATAAATAAAGGAAAAGTGGTGCGTGCATATGTATTCACCCCCTTTGCTATGAAGCCCCTAAATAAGATCTGGTGCAACCAATTACCTTCAGAAGTCACATAATTAGTTAAATAAAGTCCACCTGTGTGCAATCTAAGTGTCACATGATCTGTCACATGATCTCAGTATATATACACACCTGTTCTGAAAGGCCCCAGAGTCTGCAACACCACTAAGCAAGGGGCACCACCAAGAAAGCGGAACCATGAAGACCAAGGAGCTCTCCAAACAGGTCAGGGACAAAGTTGTGGAGAAGTACAGATCAGGGTTGGGTTATAAAAACATATCCGAAACTTTGAACATCCCATGGAGCACCATTTATATCCATAATAAAAAATGGAAAGAATATGGCACCACAACAAACCTGCCAAGAGAGGGCTGCCCACCAAAACTCACGGACCAAGCAAGGAGGGCATTAATCAGAGAGGCAACAAAGAGACCAAAGATAACCCTGAAGGAGCTGCAAAGCTCCACGGCTGAGATTGGAGTATCTGTCCATAGGACCACTTTAAGCCGTACACTCCACAGAGCTGGGCTTTACGGAAGAGTGGCCAAAAAAAGCCATTGCTTAAATAAAAAAATAAGCAAACACGTTTGGTGTTCACCAAAAGGCATGTGGGAGACTCACCAAACATATGGAAGAAGGTACTCTGGTCAGATGAGACTACAATTGAGCTTTTTGGCCATCAAGGAAATCGCTATGTCTGGCGCAAACCCAACATCTCTCATCACCCCGAGAACACCATCCCCACAGTGAAGCATGGTGGTGGCAGCATCATGCTGTGGGGATGTTTTTCATCGGCAGGGACTGGGAAACTGGTCAGAATTGAAGGAATGATGGATGGCGCTAAATATAGGGAAATTCTTGAGGGAAACCTGTTTCAGTCTTCCAGAGATTTGAGACTGGGACGGAGGTTTACCTTCCAGCAGGACAATGACCCTAAGCATACTGCTAAAGCAACACTCGAGTGGTTTAAGGGGAAACAGTTAAATGTCTTGGAATGGCCTAGTCAAAGCCCAGACCTCAATCCAATTGAGAATTTGTGGTATGACTTAAAGATTGCTGAACACCAGCGGAACCCATCCAACTTGAAGGAGTTGGAGCAGTTTTGCCTTGAAGAATGGGCAAAAACCCAGTGGCTAGATGTGCCAAGCTTATAGAGACATACCCCAAGAGACTTGCAGCTGTAATTGCTGCAAAAGGTGGCTCTACAAAGTATTGACTTTGGGGGGGTTGTCTTAGTTCTTGTTTGTTTCACAATAAAACATATTTTGCATCTTCAAAGTGGTAGGCATGTTGTGTAAATCAAATGATACAAACCCCCCAAAAATCAATTTTCATTCCAGGTTGTAAGGCAACAAAGTAGGAAATATGCCAAGGGGCGTGAATACTTTCGCAAGCCACTGTAATACAGTCCACACTGGGGGGGGGGCAAGAAGAAAGGAAGCAAGAAACATATTATCATTAAAGGCACAGCGCAGTAAAAAACATGACTTTCCTGTGTTTTATATAAATATTTCCACACTATGAGGTTGGAATAATACTGTGAAATTGTGAAAATTATGATGCCCTTTAAGTGTAAGAGCTGTTTGAAAATAAATTAGTTAATAGACCAATAAGAAAGAGTTCCAACCCTCTCTGCCAATAACAGATCGTTTTCAATTTCCCCCCTCCCCACTCAGACCACTCCCAGACAGTCCTAGCAAAATTCTTGCTTGAGAAATTGCTATTTTCTAAGAATCTATTTTTGTTTATTTTTGAAAACAATCATAGTAAGGTTCTTAATTGTTACCCAGAAATGATTTGATATTGAGATCAAAACGGCTGCATTGGTCCTTTTAACAAACGATGATAGAGAATTTGTGTAGATAAGATGACAGTTATGATGATTAATTTTTTATAGACAGTTGTGAAGGTGAGCTTTAGATTTGGCTTAATTTCACTTTTCTTTCTGTGCAAACCCAGAGGGGAGCTGCTGCTGAAGATGAACAAGCCGTCCGAGGCCCGGGACGCCTACCTGCGGGCCCTGGAGCTGGACAGAAACAATGCTGACCTGTGGTACAACCTGGCCATCGTCAACATCGAGATGAAGGAGCCCTCAGAGGCCCTGAAGAACTTCAACCACGCCCTGGAGCTCAACCCAAACCACAAACTGGCCCTCTTCAACTCTGCCCTGCTCATGCAGGAATCCGGTAAGTGACTGAGGCTGAGCAGACTAGGGTTGTATTCATTAGTGCACATCGTAGCAAAACATTTTGCAATGGAAAACTAAAATAAGCATTTGTTATTACACTTCCTATTTCGGCCCGTTTGCTTCCGTTTCGCTGCTAGTGAATACGACCCAGGCTCAACCAGAGCACGTAGCAGTTGTTTTGTTAACCTTTATTTAACCAGGAAGTCCCATTTGAAATGTAGATTGTCAATCAACAATTAATCACTCATCTTGTCATAAATAAACATTAACAGATAAGAGATTAGGGGCTCTATTTTTGGCTGGCGTCAAGACAGCGCAATTGTCAAACGCACACTTGTTTGCAATTTCGACCTGTTAAAGCTGTCTCTCTTCTATTTTCAAACCGTAGCGTCAGGATTGGTAGTTTACCTTTCTTAAATGAGCTCGCTTGCGCGGAGGTTGGAGGGGTGGCAATATCTGAGGTGTGTACTTAAAAGCGTGCGCCAAACTGCCAATTTCAGTATGCGCTGGTGGGGATATTTTAGACCAACCGAAAGCTGGTCTAAGTGGTAACACGGTTGGTTATGGCATGGATTTTGACAACGGAAGCGCAGCCTATCCAGCCGTGACGCACAGTGCCCTCTTATTATTTTGGTTGTGCATAAAAAAAACTCCATGTAGGCTATATGGCCATCATAGAATGAGAGATGTGATAATCCAGTGACACTCCTATTTAGAAACATTTTAAATTGTTTTCCTTTTTTGTTTGATAAAAAAAAACAAGCCCTTAGTAGGCTACACTTGGTTCCACAGCAGTGTGTCTGGTGTCTTTCCTATCCTGGCCATGCATTAGCCAGGTAGCCTACTATCCATGAAAAGTTTCTTAATGGTCTACTTGTGAGGCTTTTGCCGACATGCTTTGCATTATTCACAATTCACATAGGCCTACCTGCAGTGCATTTTCCATTCGGCTTGGATCCATCCCTATTTCCAAAGAGCGCCTCTTGTCTGGTTACAAAAGGCGCGCTCCTCCAAACATAGGCTATTCAGTCTATAACGCAATATCAACGGTAGGCCTAGGCTATATCTTGCTTATTGAGAACGTGCCTCACACATACAATACAATTTACGGGAGCCTAGTATTTTTTATTTGAGGAGAAGTGCAATGCGTAAAGGCCTATACTCGTTGAAGCCAATTACAACAATGTTGACTCCAAACATTGATGTATTTTCTTTTTTACTGTTGCTATTACACGCTAGACTATGTTATTTAATAAACTGTAGTATTATTCCACAATGGACTAGGAGGATAATATTTTGTGTCCCCAGCCAAATTGGAGTTGATGACAACGCAAAGACCGTCAGTAACCTACAGAACTTGAGACAAACGCATGCAGTATTAAGCTATGGAACGCCTTGTTGGACCAGTGAGTGGCCAAGCCCTCGTCTCACACCTACAACTTATTTATTCATTGAAACCCAACCCTTTCACACCACTGCCAGCTATTGCGCTCATAATAATGGCTGTGAAACTAGCACAAATATTTCTGACACCCCCGGACCTGTAGCGCTATCGCCAGTGCTTAGATTGACCATTGCGTTAGGTTTGTTAAAATAGAGCCATAGTACTCTAAAACCCCCCTCTCCTCCTCCTCCCTCCCCCCCCCCCCCCCCCTCCTCCTCCTCTCCCCCCCCCCCCTCCGCCTCCTCTCTCATCCCCCCCCCCCTCCTCCTCCCTCCTCTCTCCTCCCTCTCCCCCCCTCTCCTCCTCTTCTCTCCTCCCTCTCCCCCCCCCCCCCCCCTCCTCCTCCTCTCCCCCCCCCCTCCTCCTCCTCTCCCCCCCTCTCCTCCTCTCTCCCCCCCCGTCTCCTCCTCCCCTCCTCTCCCCCCCCCCCCTCTCCTCCTCCCCCCCTCCTCCTCCCACGTTTATCGACAAATCACACCTACCTCAATGACTGTTGTTGTTATGCCCTAACCGTTATGTTTGTGTGCATTTTTCTGTGTCTGTGTGTGTTTTACAGGTGACCCCAGGTTCCGTCCGGAGGCCAACCGTCGTTTCCTGACCTACATCCAGGAGGAGCCAGACGATGCCAACGGCTACTTCAACCTGGGGATGCTGGCCATGGACGCCAACGAGAACGCTGCGGCCGAGCGCTGGATGAGGGAGGCCATCCGTCTACAGACGGGCTTCCGCAGCGCCCTCTTCAACCTGGCCCTGCTCTACTCGCAGTCTCGACAGGAGCTGGATGCCTTGCCTGTATTAGACGAGCTGCTGCGCCACCACCCAGAGCATGTTAAAGGTTTGATTCTCAAGGGGGATATCCTGATGAACCACAAGAAGGACACCCAGGGGGCCAAGGTCTGCTTCCAGAGGATCCTCCGTATGGACCCCACCAACGTGCAGGGGAAACACAACCTGTGTGTGGTCTACTTCGAGGAGCGAGACCTGCCGAGAGCAGAGCGCTGCCTGGAGGAGACGCTGGCCCTGGCCCCCCATGAGGAGTACGTACGCCGCCACCTGGGCATCGTGCGTGGCAAGATGGCAGCCATGTCTGCGGCAGGGCAGCCGCTGAGCCAAGCGCCAGCAGAGGGCGCAGCTACAATAGCCAAGGAGGAGGAAAATAAGCTGGGAAAGGAGGAGGAGGAAGTGAGCGGAGCCACCGGCAGCGATGGGGTTGGGGAGGGTGCCGGGAATAAGAAGAATGTGCGGAAATCCTCCTCGGCAAAAAGCTTTCAAGGTGGCGGCGATAGCCAATCAGAGCATCTGGATGGCGGCCAGGCTGACAAGCAGCAGAGGACTAAGAGCAAATCCACAAAAGAGATTAAAGATATAGAGAAGAAACGGGCGGCCGCCTTGAGGAGACTGGAGGAGATTGACCGCATATTAAGCGGTGATTAACCTTGTTGTTATTTACTGCAGCGCAGGACACAGCTCCTGAATCACAGGTGTGATGTGTCCCAAATTGCACCCTATAATAACATACACTGAGTATACAAAACATTAAGAACACCTGCTCTTTCCATGACATAGACTGGCCAGGTAAATCCAGGTGAAAGCTATGATCCCTTATTGATGTCACTTATTGACTCCACTTCAATCAGTCTAAATGAATGGGAGGAGAGAGGTTAAAATTAGACAATTGAGTGTGAATGGGCAAGACAAAATATTTTAAGTGCCTTTGAACGGGGTATGGTAGTAGGTGCCAGGCGCACCGGTTTGTGTCAAGAACTGCAACACTGCTGGGTTTTTCACGCTCAACAGTTTCCCGTGTGTATTAAGAATGGTCCACCACCCCAAGGACAAAAGGGGGGTGGAACTCAATATTAGGGAGGTGTCCTTAATGTTTTGTACACTCAGTATATATAGTGCACTACTTTTGACCAGGGCCCATAGGGTAGTAGCCCAAAGTAGTGCATAGTGAATAGGGTGGCATTTCAGACACTGCCACAAACTCGGTTGGTTTTAATAAACAAAACCCCTCCCCACTTCATCATGCATGGTTTAACTCCTTGTAGATTTTGTTGATCATGTTTAGGGGCTACCCTACCTTCTGCGTCCTATAATTTTAACACCATTGCGAAAATTAAAAAAGGGAAATTGTGGTTTGTTTTTTCTCTGCACAGCACGAGAAAGGAAAAGCACAACACGATTAGTCATAGTCTATTTAATCTCCACTACAGATGCAAAACCCTGTGTGTTGCTTCTTCTGAATGTCATTATATCATATCCTAATTTATGCTGGTTTGTTTTGATTTTGCTATGTTTACCAGCCAACTTGTTGATCACTGGATTTGTTTTATGTGTGACTCACTTTGTGTGTAGCCTGGTATTGTTTAAAAAAAAAAGGAATGATTGTATCATGAACAATGAAAGGAAATGACGTAATGGACACTACAAGGCCCACTTCAGGCAGGCAGGATCTCTGTATGTTGTATGCGTCTCCAAATAACCCATTACTACAGCTGCTGCATCAGCATATTACACTACATTACACCCCATTGACTATTTTCACTTATTGATCTCACCCTTTGCTTCCTGTTTGCCAGGCCGTGAGTGTTAGTCTCCTCATAGCACAGCCCTTATCTCATAGTGCTTCCATGGAGCTGTTTATCTCATGTCTGTCCAACCCCCACCCACACACACACACACACAAACACATACCACCAGACAGACGTATGGTTTTCTGCTATTAGTCTTCACTCTTCACATATCATCAAATCGCTGATTGCTGCAATACCAGGCAGGCTGTTTTAGCGTGAGGATTGTGACACGTGCTCCTCCTCACCCCTCTCCCTCCCATTTTCTCCCTCAGGCTGTGCCATGTGTTTTTTATCATTTACACAAGACTCTGTCTTAAGGAGGGATGATTTCACAGCACACTTATTGTACAGAACAGTTCCTCTTTTTCTTTTTCTCTCTCTCTGTCTGTCTTTCTCTCTGTCTCTCTCTTTTTATGTAATAAACATGCTGTTTGATGCTATCTTTGATTTTTCAACTATTCTCTTAAACAGTAACGTTGAGTTTGAGTTACCTGGAATGGTACTGTTCTTGTTTGATGATGTGTGACGAAAGAGATAATGTGACTTGTCAGAAACCTATGATTAGCTAAGTGAAACAAAAACTCCTCGCCTATCATTGTTTTGTCTCTCTTTAACCCCTTATTTAACCCCTCGGTGTTCCATGATTGTTTTGTATCCTGGTAATTAGTTGAAGACCGCTACTGTGCAGTGTCAATCTGTTCCCTTCTCCTCTTCACACTCACTGAAAGTTGATGGTGTGTCCATCTGTTAACAGATCGAACTGATCAACAATTTCTGTCAGTCACGATTACCCTAATGGAAAATCTGCTGACAACATAAATTAAAAAACATTGTCAGTGTGATATGATGGTTGGCCTGAGGCCTCATGACACTTGATTCTCGTAGCAGTCTCAACATGATCATGCATTACTCATCATTGAGCTCCTAAAACACTATGTATTGTGCATGTACAGATGCTTAAAATATGTCCAGTATTTATTTGTTTATTTTTACATGACCTGTGAGCTCTCAGTACTGTCATTATTTCCCACTTAAAATATACGGTACGTTGTTTAGCAAAGCTATCTTTTATCATGCAAGACAAGTGCTCTGAAAATGTTAGAATTGTAATCAATCAAGAATGTTGAAATCCCTTAAAGAACCGTCTCGCCTGTAATGATATCAGAGTTGTAGAGAGCACATTAAATCAGCAACTAAAAACATTTCAATTCTATTCAAGCACCATATCTATCACTTTTGTCATAGGCATATATGTTCACCTGCAATGTAATTGATTAATTCTTTTATTTTAATTTATTTTGTATGGTGACCAAAAAACACTTTTTTAAATGTATTTTTAAAGCTGTATCCCTTTTTTCTAATATGAGCCCTGATATTGACTTGGCTCCTGGGTGCTTGATGGTGGTGGGGATTCCGGGTTGTGGTTTTCAAATAAAGGCTGTTTACCTTACGACTGCTTTTCACTTCTACATGTGTTCTTTTTCTGTATATCTTACAGCTAACATCTAGTCTCCCTAGGCAGACCGGTTGCCTTCCACATTAAAAGTGTTCCGGCATACCTAGGTCTGGGATTTCTGAGCTCACAACAGTAGGTCCGACATATGATCAGAGGGCCTACAAATGGTAGGTGTTTGTTTTGATGGCCACATTACACCAGTGGTAGTACCAGGGAATTTTCACTGGGCTAGCTAAGGGGTGGCTTGGTCGTTGAGTAGGGGTGGTTGCAGTCTATGGTGTATTAAGCATGCATCTAGTAATACATTATTTCTTGGGGGTGCTAAACATTCTCGAGTGAGCTTCAGCACCTAGCAAGCCTCTCTCTGGAGCCGCCCATGCATTACACAGGCCTGGTCCAGAAACCACTCCTAGCACCAGCCCCTAGGCACTTAATGTAGATCTGAAAGATTTGAATAGGTATAAGCGATATGGTAGCAGCTCAACTTTGCCCTCTGATTTAAGCACTGCTTTCATAAGGGGGAGGTAAGGAGAAAGTACGCAAAAAGATTACTAGGATTAATGATACAATTAAATCAATGTTTTATAAGATAAAGGAAGGTTAGATAAAACTTGATTACATGCTCAGGCTCCAACTTCATTAGGATGGCAGCAGTGAGGTAACAGCACATTGCTGTACTCTTGATCCTTACTGTTTGGCTCAGTTTCAAACCCACTTCCTCTTGAGTCTAGTCCCCCCTACTCAGTCGAATGGCATTCCATAAGATGCATTCCTGGCAGGGTTGGGTAGGTTACTTTCTAAATGTAATCCATTAGTTACTAGTTACCTGTCCAAAATTGTAATCCGTTACGTAACTTTGGCTTATCCAAACTCAGTATTGTAATCTGATTACTTTCAGTTACTTTTTGATTACTTTCCCCTTAAGAGCATTAGAAGAAGACAAAAAGGAGACATCAAACGCATTTGGTGTGTCATCATAGTGGTCTCTGACTTGTGGTGTGCCTTTTTTCAATGCTGAATTGAATGTCATTGAGAAAACATAAAGGTGTCAATGTATTTTTCCCACAAACATCCTTTCTGAATTTAAAAGTAATCCTAGAAGTAATCATCTAGTTTTTCAAAAGTATCTAATCACAATATTTTTGCTGGTAATGTAACTGATTAGTTCGTTTTTTTTGTAATCCTGCAGAATAGTCTTTGGCATCTGATAATGCTGGCTGATAATGTGATACTGGCATGCGTTCTGTCATAATATGAATCATTTCTTGGATTTAGTGCTTTTCCAGTAGTAAGGGTAAAATCAATGCATCCACTAGCCATGTGTCCATTTAACAATAAAGGCTTATAACCAGGGTTGGAACTGCTGCAACATAACCATGACGTTGTATCGTTGAATAATGGTTTCACATTATGTAATATGAATCGAAAGTTTTGAGAAAAAAATGGGTTTGACGCATTAGAAAGTCTTAATGGAAATGGAAATCCAGTGTGACAAAGAAGGATTCATAAAAACTTCACATGAGAACAGTAGTCAGTTGCATGGATAATTCTCAAAATTTGCATTTCAATGGTATTAGCCTGGATATAATTTCCCCATAATGTTATCAGAAATACAAAATATCTATTGATGCAGAGATGGTTTTTAGAACAATTTTTAAAAAATAGATTATGTTGCACCTATGTGTCTAACTTCTTGCCAGCCACTTGTGAACTCATTCAATGAACAGCTGGTCCTCAAGCCTTATTGAATTTGTCCCCCAAGTCTATTTTAGCAGTTTTCAACTGGCAGGGCCTTGTTGGTTTTAAATGTCATACTTTGACCATATCTCATCGAAATTCTTTGTCTGGTTACATCATGCCAACTCATCCTTCCACATGCAACCATGTTGTTTATTTTCTATTTGATAGAATGTGAAATCTTGCTAACATTTTCTCAAAAGCATAGAATGGTCCAATGTGGTCAATTCTGGACAATATTTCTGGTGATTTAGGGGACTCTCTAGTTCAAGAGCACCGCCAGAGGCAACACTTCTGTATTGTAACTTTAACCACTTGTCACGCAAAGGATCCGAGTGTAATTTGGTGGCCTATAGGCATTATGGTTATGCACCAATCAAGCCTGTCTGTCCAACATACTTCCTTTTTCAAGGCAGGTGTACAGTGTCCATATCAGGACAGCAGTTGAGCTGACAGTCTCATTTCACCTGAGCTCACGTATGTATGAAGTGTCTCAGAGTGCTGATTTAGGATCAGTTTTTCCTTTTAGATCAAATACAGTGAGCTTCAAAACATATTGGGACAGTGACACATTTTATGTTGTTTTGGCTCTGTACTCCAGCACTGTGGATTTGAAATGATACAATGACTACTAGGTTAAAGTGCAGACTGTCAGCTTTAATTTG